AATTAATGTTATTGTCCAAATTAAATAGAATTTCCCCTTATCTCCAACCCTAAGCCTCAGACGAATACAGAGCCAGCTCAATCTACAAGCCCCGGTATGCTTTACGATTATGTCTTCGTTTTGTCATCTTCAACTTCATAACGTTGCTTTGTCTTTTAGATGCAGAAAAGCCGGATACGGCCGTGGGTTCTGAAAAAGAACCAGAGATTCATAGTGCTGAAACTTACGAAGCCAGTTCAGGTCAAAGATTTTCCTAAAGCTTATTCTGTCTTCCTATAAAAAATGTTCCAATCCAGTTTTTAACATTTTAGTATGTATCGATATTTTGAACTCAAGTTCGCGCACAAACGAGAGTCTAAATTCCTCTGACCGCTATGTGCCTCAGGAGGGCACACCAATTCCATCTCGGCTCTGCTCTCAAATTGATTCAAATGGCTCTTCCAGCACTTCTGATTCACATACTGAAAGGCCTAGTCTGGAGGCCTTCAGACAAGGCATTCAGCCTTATCGCCCTTTTGAAAATTTGGCTTCCTCTGTAGGTGCCTATAAACGAGTCCTCAAAACTCTTCATCAGGCCAAAACAACGCTTAAGTCTAAACGAAAAGCTGTGCCAAAAAAGTCTGATGGAGAATATTTTAAGAAAAAATCATCTGAAGTGTTGCAATTGTCTGTGGATTATCCTAAAACTACATCTGCTGCTGAAAAAGAAGAAGGCGAAGTGGAAGCAGATGATAGCGATTATGAACTTTGCGATATGGTTATGGAAAGTGAAGACGAAGGGGATTCGAGAAATAATGCCGATAATTCGCAGCCTTATTCTGAACATCTTTGCGATACTTCTGTAAGTACTTACATTTGAGCTATATGCTCTTTAATTTGCGTAGATTTCGCCTTTGCTCATCTCGACTTAATTGAGTTATTAATATTTCCAAATTTATATAGCCAACTCAGCCTTATTTGAACACTCAGAAGCGTGATTCACATTTTGGTTCTCCAATATCGTATCAGAGGGCTATTGACGCTCAACGTTTACACTGGTCTCAGCAGTCAGCCTACTACCATTTACCTAATCAGAAGGGCCACTATCAAACAGCTTCTAAGTGGCCCCGTTATCATTAAAATTGCATCCACCGAAACGAATGAACTTATTTGTAAATATCGTTTTTATTTCACATTTTTCGTTTTGCTTGGTTGTGAGATCTTTGCTAACACCTCGAGGTTTGCGAAATATATTTATCTTTATATATTTTTCTTTTAATTTATGTGTCGCCTTTATTTTTGCTAGTCATTGATAATTTTGTCAATTATTACCAAAAAGTACGTTTTGAAGTATCTTATCTCGTTGTGAATTGTTTTACATGAGGTGGTGTCCAATTTTTACTGGTTTTATTTCCCAGTTATTTGATCACTGTTTCTTCTCTCCATTGCCAATCAGAATTTGTGTATCTCCTTATTAATTAGTTATTGTGCTTCATTTTATCATATGGCCATCGACTCCGTAAATGTGTATTTAGGTGGTGAGTCTTTTGGTCTATTTTTATCTGACTACTTATTGCTAATTTTAATTTTTTCTTC